CTTTTCAAGTTTAACTTGAGATTTTTGATGTCTTCGAATTACTGCTGGCATAAAATATTTATAGTTTATATTATCAATGCTTGATAGCTCTATCAAGGAGCTTTCATTGAAAAAACTCCCTTCTCCTGCACTTCGTTTTGGTGTTTGTGTCTTATTAGTACAAATTTACTTCAGCTCTTTTTTTTTTGTAGAATTCTTTTCACAGTGACTCTGGTGTGGCAGGCTGTTCATTTAGGAAAAGGGAAGAAAATTTTTTTTTCCAGCCCCCCGCCCCGTGTTTCTCTTCTACATATACAGTATGCATTTCTTCATTACAAGATACCCTTCTCTTCCATATTTGCACTTCTTGTCAAGGCCGTGAAAAAGAAGGACATGGAGAAGATGTGAAAAGTCTCAATGTCACAACACAAAAGCAGCAACCCAAGAATGAAGGGACTATTATAAATGCTTTCAGTGACATGAATCAGAGTTACGAAAGCAGAAAGCAACAGAATTCCAGGGCATTGGTACCTTTCACTGGGATCACAGAGAGTAGGTAACATTTTTTTAAACAATGCCATAAAATTGTTTTTGAAAATATTAAATCATAGTAATGCTTTGACTGTTGTCCTGGAAGATTCCAGCCAGTTGGTCTTCTCTGGCCACTCATTTAAATTATTCCCACAGCCACTTAGGAAATGGTGATAAAAATTTAAGGTAGAACTGGGGATTTCTTACCTGCAAAAGGTGGTAACAGAAAACAATTATAGTGCTATAATTAATAAGGGGTTGGTCCCTTGAATCTGCAAAAATGTTTGTAAAATTTTATAAAATTCTCTTCGTTTTTTAAAAGTCACCATATTTCATGACCAATAATTATTTAATTTTTTAAAAAAAAAATTTGAGCCATCTGAAAGCAAATAACTAACAGCAAAAAAAACAAGGACAGACTTATGTTTCCTCCCACATATATAAAGTTTTAGATTGGTGCTCAGTCCCAAGAGTCTGAGAAAGGCTTGAGGGAGCATTCCTCTCCCCTCTCAAAACTCATCAACTCTTCCCAGTAACAAAGCCTCCTTTCTTCAAAAGTAAGTACCACTTCCAGGTAACAATGCCCCATTTCTTAGTGTGACTGAAACTTGCCTCCGTCAAAGTGAAATATTTCACTTGAATATATGCTGCTGCTGCTATGAGACTTGCCAGGCTTTGCTTCTTGACCGTCCTGTAATCCCTAGTAGTTTGCTTCTAATCCTTAACTAAACAAACTGGGCTTAACTGAACAAACACTCCTAACAGGCAGATAATTTTATTGTCTCTAAAGACAATAAAACTAGATATCTTTAAGATCCTTCGGCAACTGGAGAGACCTGAGAGAACAAGTGAGGAAAACGGGAGGTTTGGAGCCCTCAGGATGCTTGGTAACCTCTGTAATGTCTTGCAGGTAAAAAACTGAACAGACACTGCTGCCAAAATGGAGGGACGTGTATCCTAGGGACTTTCTGTGCCTGCCTAAAGCATTTCACTGGCAGATACTGTGAACATGATGAGCGGCAAAGGTAAAAAGGAGACCAAAACCAGAGAGAGTGAGCGAGCTGCTCTGGATGGTTATTTTCTGTGGTGGGATCAGGGATGTACCAAATATCTCCCTTGTCCTTGGCAGCAACTGCGGCAGCATTGCCCATGGCGCCTGGGTGCTGAAGGGCTGTTGGCTGTGTCGGTGCGGCTATGGTACTCTGAACTGTCTCTCAGAAATAATGCAAGATAACTGTGGTAAGAAATGGCATTACATCAACCATTTTTATCTTGTGGGTTACAGAATTGCCTTCTGCAAAGGTGGGGTACTCAGAGGATGCTGTATGTGCTCTATTTAGACTTCTGAAGTGGCCTGCTTTGCTTCAGAGAATGCATTAGTGAGACAGTAAATAATACTGTTGTTGCCTGTATAATAATACATCACATAAAATACTTTGAGATCTTTACAATCCTGTCCAGTACGAAACTTCCCTCCATTTTAATTGAAAATTCCAGGGATTAAATGTTTCTCTGTTCTGCAAAACCTGCACATATCTATGACTTCCCACTTAACTAGGACAGTTTGTACAACTAAACTACATCCAAGTATACAAAAATGTTTCTTAGATGAGGAAAGAGGAACAACAGTAGTGTAAACTGGTGTGGTAGAAGTAGAAATAAATATTACTCTAGAGAAACAAGTACTGAAAAATTTTGTGTTCTTGCACGAGCTACTTAACACATAAATGGCAGAAAACTAGTCTGAACCTTATTTTAAGATCTGTATCTTAATCTTCAAAATATTCTCATACAGAGTTCTAAGACTGAGCATACTCCACAAAAAATGTGGAGCCATAGTCCTGATCAGTGTAAAGTAGTAGCATCCAGTCTCCTCAAAAGCACTATATTACTTTAAGTCAAGTCTTTATACATCAGCCTGTGAAAAACCCTGTATAAAGGTTTGAGTATTTTTGAAAATGTTGTATCAGCTAGCATAAAAACTAAAAGGATTGCTTTACAGGTACTTATTTTCCATGGAGACTGGTTACTGAGATCCAGACTATTTTCAATAATCTGACTAATAAGAGTTTAATGTTATTTTATCTCCAGTGATAAAGTTAGTGCAAAATATTCTTGCCCTTCTCCATCCATGATGTCTCAGTCCTACCCTCTGCTGTAATATAGTTTCCTTCAGCTGTGCCAACATCACTGGTTAGCAGAGTAAGAAAACAACAGTCCTAAGTAGCTTCAAGATTCATTTGCACCCGAAGGAACTACCAGCCTCTTCTTTCCTGACCAGATTTCTATCTGAGTAACAGTGCATAGAAGTTGTAATTCCTGAGTTATACCACCGACTCGGAAGTAAATACAAATTTCAAAACTTGAGCCTCTTAGGTCCAGGATATGCTGTACTGTGTGATAAGCCCCCAAGTCCAAAGAAATGAAATGCAAAAGAAAGGTGACATCCCTATCTTTGCAACTATAGACAAAAAAAATAACAAAAAAGAACCCAAAACCACAAACCCAACCAAAACCAAGAACCCACCACCAAAACCATTTTTGCCTTGAGGTCCTCTGTATTGATTAATTATTTGTGGCACCCAACTTGCTCCTTAAACTCTTTTGAAGAGTTAAATGCTCAAGTTCCCTTGGGTGTTCCTCTTTCAGTCAGCCTTATTGTTTCCCATTACAGGAGCAAAAGACCTAACAGGCCAAGCCATGTTCAGTAAAAGCAGTCTACTACTTACTACTCTTGAGCTCATCTTAACAAAGGCAATAGAGGTGGCAGCGGAGAATCATCTGCTCATCCTCTGAGCAGGGACTCAGTGGCTTTCACATGCATGAGGGTATGGCTTTCTGCTTGTGCTAATACATGAAGTCCCTTCTTGTTAAAGGAAGGGTTAAAAGGCTACATGCAGACTTGAGTGCATACCTCTTGTGAAGATCTTGCTCTTGCTTTTGCTTGGTATTTACTTTTGATTATTCTGAGATTAATGCCTGCAAGAGCTGATAAGTGCTATCAGTTGCTCCTCAAACGATCATTGATGGGACATCTATTCACATCTCTCCCTTGAGAATAGCCTCTTTGATTGGCTTTAACAGCTGATACCTTTAACTTAAGTACCTGTGAGATGTCGGAGGACTTCCAAAGTATGTTGAAAATCCTTAGGGTTTAAAATGTACATATTTTACTCATTAACCATTTTATTTTCTTGATTTTTTTTTTTAGAACTGAAATCAGAAAAGGAGGAAATTACCAGGCTATATTCTAATGGGCTGAGATTACAGCAAACAGTGTTTGCACTCGCTTGCCTGCTCACCATCCTCCTGGAGCTCTGTTGTTGGCAGTTGTGAAACTGGACAAAGGGAAATATCTTACCATGAGTCGTACAACTTTTTTCTTCCATGAGCTACAGAAGACACTTCTACCTACATGTTGGAGGCAGATTATGATGTATTAATTAATGCTGAAATGCTTGTATTATTATAATTTCAGATTATATGAATGTGAAGTATTTATTATTATATTATTATTTTATTACTACTATCAATGTCTGATTCTAATGATTCTTTAGTTCTAAAATACTGTTCTTCCAGTGGAAGCAAAAAAAACCCAATATTCTATGCCTTAAGTATTGTAAATTAATTTCCTTTGTACACAGTACAACTATTTTAACAAATAAAGCTGATTTCATTTCTGAAGAGCTTTTATGTTTGGCTTTATTTAAACTTGAAAAGTCTTGTCTACCTTTTGTCATTGTATTGTATACTGTAACAAAACAGTAAGAAGAAGGCAGGGTAGAATGAACAATCTGAAATTTGAAGAGATAAGGGTTTTAAGGGTAAGTATATTTCAAACCCTAATATACAGAACTCTACAAGTTATATAGTCTTTCAGGTTTTATTGTTATTTATTATGGCTAAATTGTATATATGCATAATCTGAGGCAGGAAGCATATGTTTCTTAAGAACGTATAGCTGACACTTATTTGTCTTTTGGGGGTTTATTTTATTTCACATCCTAGAAATATGAGCTCTTTTCTTTTTAAAAGGACAGCAAAGAGCAACCTCTTTAAAACTTTTTCTATAGGAAACCTGTCTTGATTTATATACCATTTAAAAATGAGTATTTCTAGGCTGTAAAATAAATGTTTGGAATGTGTAACTGCATTTGTAATGCAAGTTTTTAAAACACCAAAAACATCTTTGTTTAAAAAAAAAAATTGCAAGGAGAAGCCTAAAGTGTACCTTCATTCTTTGAATGTGGAGCTACCACATAGAAACAATAGGATTTGTAATTTTGTTGGCTTAAAAGACACCATTGATATATAAAATTCTTAATGACTTTAAAAAGTTCAATATATTTAATCCTTAAAATTTCTTTATTAATTTCTTTGGTGCCATAAACCAAGACAATAATCCAGTCATTAAGCAGACAAGGATGCATCACCAACAAATGACATAATATTGTGGATGTCTTTGAATCTACAACTATTCAGTGACAGACCCTTTTAGGGAGTCGTTCTGTAAAAACATATTGATGTTAAATACTGCAGATGATTCAGACTGCTCCTTTCCACACTCTAGACTTGAGTGGAAAGAATAAGGTTTCTCACTCCTCACAGAAGATACACTAGACCAGAAACAGTCCTTTTCTCCTTATTTATGTACCAGAAATTTCCACAGACTTTGGAAAGGAGGTACCAGCTTAGGACAATTCAATATCGAAGAGAACAGCTGGAGGAAAATAGTCATGCCTTTATTTATTGGATATTGAAATTGCAGGAATTCCATTGTGAAAACATCTTGGCTTGCCATAAAGCATACCTGAGAAGTCTGTAGATAATACAGCTTTTAATGTGCTTCAGATAGGCTTTACTTTTTGAGGGAAAGCAGCAAGATATGTGGAAGGTACATAGTACAGTAAAAATATG